GATATCGTCTCCCTTTTTCAAAAATATGCATCAAAGAAGTTGCAAGCCTCACATGAAGTAGTAGCAGTGACGAATGTCCTCTTTATCTTAATTGCATTTAGTAATTTATATACTGATGTAGCGACATGCTATATTTATAGTGGTTAAAAACATTAACAATGGACCACCCTAACTATAAATCCTGGCTACGCCACTGATACGGACTACGTATATATATGAATGCGCGTGGTATCGTGTCACGTCTCTCTCTGCCTCTCCTCTCCGATGAATGAATGAATGAATCCATCTGCATCGTCCATCATCATACGAAAGGTGTATCTCCAACGAATTCGATCGCCATATACTGCGTAGCTGTACTTGTCGCACGTTAGTCCACCAATTTTCAACCTCTATAAGTTGAACGTCACTGATTTTCATCAATCCTGAACGTCGAAATCGGCAAACTGACACCCTCTTTGATTGTCGAAATCAGACAAATCCGATCTTCTGACCGGTTCCAAATGTGGTTTTGTATTCTCTAATAATAATACAAATCTAGTTTGTTCTTTAAAATATTATATTTAGTTTATTTTAAATCTTATAAAAATATAAAAATAGTTATAGTTTTTTTCCTAAAAATGCTATTTAAATGTTGGTGCACGATTTAGAGTTTTTATGGATCTTATTTGTTTAGATAAATAAACGACTACAAGCAATAAAGTAACAAGAACATAAACAAACTAGATCAAAATAACTAACCCTTCATCCCAAAATGCTTAACCTTATGGAATTCAAATTGTCAAAAAATACTTGACCTTCTCACTTTCCAATGCACATTTCTCTTCTCTCAATACATCTTTTTATTTTATTTTTCTAATACATCTATATCTCTACTTCTCTCTATCTCTCTCCTTGTTTTCTATACACACCGCACCTTTTCACTATTCCTTAATTCCTTTGTCAAAGCCTAAGACATCAGATATTTACGTAGGGAGTAGATCATAAACAAGTAGATAATATTTTTTAGGAAAAAAATAACACTGGTTTCATATGTTTCATTTAAAATAAATTAACTATGATTTTTTATTGATCAAACCAGGTTGTAATTATTTCTTACAACATAGAAAACCATCTATGAAACCAAAGAGAATCAGATTTATCTGGTTTCGATAGTTAGAGGAGACCTATGTTACCTGGTTTTGTAGTTTAGGCTGATCATATTAAATTATAGTTTTTTTTTATATGTTTGATCTTTTTTATTTATAAAAAAACACTTTGGAAAAGCAAGATCTACACTTATTTTGAGGCGAGGGAGTACAGCTACAAATCTAGCGGCAAAATACGGAATGAATGGACGGGATATTGAGCTGAACCGACGTGGCAAATCTACAGCCTAATATAGTGTGTGTTTGGCACCAATCGCCCCGCTTTAGCTTATCTGACATAGAGTTGACATGTCGCTGTAGCGACACTATTTGATACTGTAGCTTGAAAGCTGTTTCGTATTTTGAGGCGCAAAATGACCTGGAAACAGGCGAAGCGGTTGTGAGCTGAAATGTTTAGCTTCTCCCGGCTTGCTGCAGTGCCCTGTGTCAGATAATCTGAAGCGGTTGCGAGCGCCACCAAACAGGCCCATATACAGCTGCGCCACGTGAAGGAAGTGGCATCAGGCGCGCAACAACAACAGCAAGTTTCGGACGCGACGTGCAAGTAATGGAGCCGGCCGGCACATGGAATGAATGAGCAAGCGCGGCAGGCCACGCTCAGATGAGGCCATCTATCGTCGGCGGCGAAGGGCAGGTAAGGCAAGGCTTTAGCAGGCCGATGGATCGAGAACGACGCCGCCATCGGCGCCCTCCTGCCCTGCCCTCTCCAGTCTCCAGCCGTGATGGCGAATTGGCGATGGCGATCGCGTTGGCAGGCACACGCAGGCCCGCCATCAATGGCACCCGAAGAGGTTGGAGCCTGCCGCTTCCGCCATCAATCAAAGTTGGGAAGTACACCAAGACCAGCGTGTGTACGTGGGGCTGCCATGGGCTACCGTACCAAGTAGTACCATACAGAGAGACACTTTGCATTGCAGAGTTGCAGTTGCAGGTAACCTGTTTCTTCCTGGCGTGCATGATTGGAGCACTACGGGCGGGGAAGTCTTTGTTTACACTGCCGCTTTAGCATTAAACACGCTGTTAGTGTGAACCTAGCCATGATAAACTCAGCTCCTATTTATTTGCAAGGAAAGTTGCACCGCTACTGTGAATCTTCTACCATCTACGCTTAGGGCGTCCCCAATGGTTCTCAAATAGCTAGTCTAGGAAGAATTCTATTGGCTATCAGGGAGATAGATCAAATAGCTAGCGACTCCCAAATAACTAGTCTAGCACAATCTCCTAAAAACAACCATCTCACAGCTCAAATAACTCTCCACGCCTATGATAGAGTGAGAGATACCAGGAGTATACATACTCCATCCATTGGTAAAAGTGACAGGACCAAGACATACCAGAACACAATGGTCATTTTCACTTCTCTTATAATCCGTCTTTTTCAGCTTGTTTTTTCAGCCGGAACAGTGTTTTTCTCTCATAACAAATCAGCCAGAACAGTATTTCTGCTTGTTTTCTCAGCGAAGCGAATGGGGCCAATGTGGTCCGACCATCCACGCCTATGATGTGGACCCTAGCTAGCTTAGCTAGAGTGGTCGCTGGTGCACTCCTACTCACCCACACAAATAAAAAGTGCTTAGGTTGCACATGACAAATAAAGGAAAAGCAAACATCACTGGCTTCACTTGTAATGGACCACACTTTGCTATGTGAGATGTAAGGTGCAACTCAAATCAAACTCCTCTTGTATCGATCAAGTTTATTTACATAGGTAAAAACAATACACCAACATCTATAACATCGAACTAGTTTCACTAAATCTACCTTCAACTTTTCGTCCAAAAAAAAATCTGCCATCAACTATGCTCTGATACTACATTTATTTAGTATCATGGTAGATGTTAATATATATGCTTTTGTTCAAAACAGAGCTAGAGAATCTTTGACTTAAGACAAAACTAAAACGGAGGGCCATAAACTAATTGATTCATTCAGATGAGCTGCAGCTACAGTGCAGCCCCCAAAAAAGATCCGAATTAATGGAAAGCTCACAATTGTTTGTACCCCAAAAAACGATGTAGTACGAGTTTGCTGAGCTTTAAAGAAGTTTGCACGGTGTTCAAATCACGGGGAGGCATGTCTCATTATTTGGATTTGAACCACAAACGAACAAAAACAGTGGCAAAACAGTGCACATACAGATCAATCAATCATGCTCATCACGCCACTCGACAGAACCGGGGTTTTTCCTAATATGCGCCTCAAGGGTGGGTGCCATATGTAGTACTAGCATCAGAAAGATGACATTTCGCAGTCACAGGGACGGGCAAATGCCATTAGGTACATGTACACGAGTACATCCAACTGAATGCCCAACAGGAACATGCATCTCATTGGGTCACTCAACTGGAAGTCTAGCACAGCCATTTCACAAGAAAGCACAAGACCACCACACCACCCTCTAGTGCTTTAACAATCTTATAGGGCCAATCAGCTATTACCTCAGCTACTAGCAATCTTTTAGTATCAGAGATTCAGAGTGCAGCAGTGATCAAGTGTGAGTTGTCACATGGTAGGAAGAGTAGATCCCAGGAGAAGGCTTCTTGCATTACCTTACCTTGCATGCAAACTGAAAAACAAAGGAGATTTGGTGCTGTCCATAACCAGCAGCACTTCCACTCTCGGAAGGTAGAGCAGAGCCACCGTTTTCGCGCTTCTGGCGCAGATTAATTTGGTTCGTTGGAGCTGTTGAGTCATCCTTTGTTGCCAAGTTAAGGTAACCAAGACAAGATAGATATTTCCTCTAACAAGCTAGTACAAGAAACAGGATTCCAAGTTCCAACAGAAAGCAGCAGTCGTTTTCCATGGGCCTTTTACTGGTTAAAAACTGTTCAGTGATAAAAGCAAGCGATGCTGCCCACTTTTCTTTTGCCATTTCGGCTAAAGGAGATCTTACCTGTTGTTCTTTTCAAGGTTAACATCATCTACCCCCAACACGTTTTGCATAGTAAAGTGCTTGTTGTTCAAGTGGCTGTTATTATGTGCAACTGTGCAAGAATAACAACTTTAGGCAAGTGCATATAATGCAGGCAACCGTGGCAAAGGGAACAAGATGAACAGTCGGTACACAGTTCTCCGATGGGAATGGGTAACAACAACTGATCTTCGCGCCATTCAAAGGCTGCCTGGCTTTTGTCGTAGGGTAGAGCTAGAATAATTGGGGAGGTCGTTGATGGCAAAAGGAAGTTATTACCAGACAGACACAAGCAGTACGGGTTTACTTTGGAAAGTATGGCATGCCGTAGCAGAAACATTTACTTTCATAAGTGGATTACTAGTGGTTCAGGCCCATATTGATCCCACTAGTCTTGTCAACCCGTCGCTCTATGGGCTAAATCCGTTACAAGCACAAAATAAAAACTGCACAAAAAAGCTTCAGAAACCAAGACTACTTTCCAGTGGTTCAGGCCCATATTGGTCCCACTAGTCTCGTTGATCCATGAATTTATGGGCCGAATCAGTTTCAAGCACAAAATAAAATACCACTCCTACAAATTATTTATTGATAAAAGGCTATTTTGTAAAAAAAAAAACATCAGAATAAAAGGGTACTTTTGCGAATTAAAAGCCAGAAACGCATGTTTCGCCTGATTAGGAACATGATGCATGTCTAATAGTAACAGGATTCACATGATTAGAAACATGATGCCTCCCCGATAGACAATAGTAGCCGTTTCAAAACCCAAGACCTGGCTTCAGTTTCACATAAACTACTCAAACTAGGTGTTTCTAAAACAATAGCTGAGCGATAAATTAGCCCTACTGGATGCTACATACCAATAACACACTCAACAAATACTACTGAGCGATCAATTAGCTGTATTGGATGCTACATACCAATAACACACTCCACAAATGCTAGGCATCATTATCATCTTCTTCTGGCTTCACAAAGAATTCTATATGGGCGATTCGGCTTGTCTGCTCGGTTCCTCCACCAATATTACGGAAGTATGGCATACCTGGCCTGGCAAGTGAAACCAGGTGCTGGATTTTCAGCATCCCTCCCCTCCCAATGGAGGCTTTCGTCCTACGATTATCCTTCATGACACTACTGGGGATGTTCGAGGTAGTTGCTCGAAGAAACTTGTATTTATACCTTGAAGAAAACAGTATGGTCTGCAAATTAGCACAAAGCAGCATACCATCTGAGACTCTAGATACAAGAAATTTACCTGTATGACACTTCATGGTCGCATTGGAACACGATTAGAAGGTCGGAATTTGCATAATAGGGGAACTCAATCTGCCAAATTGTGTAAGCGACAGTGAGTTATAGGCACAACTGGAAGACAAGTGGACATAACAGGCCAACCTGTAACAAACCTGCAAGTCGCCATGACCTTCGCCTTTCAATATAACTGTTGGAGGATCTGGTTGCATTCGAATCTGAATGCTGGAACCTGGCCATTCAAGGTCATCGATTGTTTCTTTCAGGACAGCGGACTGAAATTTCAGGTAGCAAATCATATATTCCTGGTGAACTAAAATAAACAGCTGATACATACTGCCAAGTGCCAACAAAAAAACAGGGTGCATTGAGAGTACCTTGACGGTAAAAGTGACTGGAGTATTCCCATCATGCTCAAAATGGTAATCCCAAGAGACCGTATCTGGAATTCTGGTTCTGATTTCTGCATACAGACATGCATCTGGAGAGCCCACGGACCTGCATTAACATCACAAGAGTCCCTCAAATGAGCAAATTTCCAATTGTTTTAGTCTGCTTAAGTTACATAGTATATCTCTGCATCCAATTAAACATCTCAAAAGTCAACGGAGAGAAGTATGATTTTTGTGTAGAGATCAAGATGGCCACAAGATGTTGAGAAGTATGAGTTACACCCACATGAGTTTCAGCAGTTTGTCTGAACACACAAACACAGTCTTAAATTACATCAGCACCAGAGAGCATGCATACATACTTGAGGAGAAGCTGCATGTCGGGGCCAGGGTAACGGATCTCGACAGCAGACGCGTGGCCTGGCGATGAGAAGATGTTGAGGCAGTCGACGAAGAGACCCAGGCTGAGGCCGAACCGCTGCCTCCCGTCCCCCGCATAGTCGTACTCCACAAACAGCTGAGAGATTCACGAATATGTCAGAGCCCGGGGCGCGACGAGGCATAGACGCAAACACCTGACGCGTAGGCGGGGGCAGGGGCAGGGGCAGGGGCAGCGCGGCTCACCTCGCGCTTGAGGAAGACCTTGGCCAGGAGGCACCCGCTCTCCTCGACTGAGAGCACGATCCCGTGCTCCGACAGCTCCATCACCGCGTCCTGCGCCACGGGAAAGCCGGGGGCTCGGGGTTAGGATTCGGGAGCGGAGCCGGGGGTGGAGACTGGAGAGGAGGCGGGAGGCGATCGGGCGACAGATCCACGTACGGACCTGGTGGCGCTTCCAGCGGACGGAGGAGAGCGCGTCGACCATGCCGTGGACGCAGTCGATCTGGCAGACGAGGTCCGGCGCGTCATCGTCGCGGACGGACGTCGAGGAGCTCATCGCTGCTCGGCGGTGGGCCGGTGACCGGCGTGCCTGATGCCGTTTCGAGGTTTTTCGCTTTGCGCGCGCTGTGGCGTCTCCCGCGCGAACCAAGTGGAAGTTCCCGCCGTTTTGTTGGGCCCATTAAGGGGCCGTTCGGCTGCTCACAGTCTCAGCCGAAATTCACTGTGCGAAGATAAAAAATATTGTTCGCACCCTCACAAATTCCTCCAGATTTATTCAGCTTCCTCCAAATTCTTTCAAGCGAACAGGACCTAAGTAGCTGGCGCGGATAGAGAGCGCGCAGGACCTAGTGGTCTTTGGGTTCTTCGGCTCGATATCGATGGCCCAGTAGTAGCAGGCCTTGTTACCTTCTATTAGTTCTGGTTCTCAAGAGAAAGATGTCACCTAGCGATTTCTTACGGAGCATGCTGCTGAAACTTTATATTATTTTTTAAGCATCTTACCTTAAATATAGTAATTTGCAGATCTTATCGAGACCTAAAATACAAAGTATCTTTAGATACCATACAAGAAAACATATAATTTTTCAAAGGTGAAAGCCTGCTGAAACTTTATATTATTTTTTGAGTAACTTAACGATCTTAAATGAAAAACTAAAAACTAGAAAGTTATAGATCTCATCAAAAGCTTAATTTTCTTATAAAAACTATCTTTATATGATGTCGTATGAAAAATATGATGTTTCTAAGGTGAGCCTTATCGCTCACATGTTGGTCTCATCTATTAAATCCATGTACACGTTGAATGCATTTTAAATTATAGAGACCTAGATGAAACCTTCAAACAACTTTGAGTCCTTGTGGGGTTAGCGGTGATGGGGAACCCCCCCTTGTCTCATTCTACAGGAACTTACCTTTACTCTGAACTAGAAGATACTCCGCGCATTGCTACGGAGATTGTAAAAAATTAAAATGAAATTAAGTAGAGATGACATGGATAACTTGCATTAAGAGGTTGAAAGTTAGTGGCATGGCGTGTCTATTAGTGAAATATGATATGGATAGTTAATATCTTGTATGTTGAGAAAGAACTTAAGATGACGTGGATAACTTGCATTAAGAGGTTGGAAGTTAGTGGGATGACATGGCTATTAGTGCAAAATGATGTGAATGTCTTGCATGTTGAAATAGGATTTGAGATGACGTGGATAGCTTAATGTTGGAAGTTAGTAACATGACATGGATATTAGTGAAAGATGATATGGATGTTTTGCATATTGAGATAGAACTTGAGATGGCGTGGACAACTTGCATTAAGAGGTTAGAATTGGAAGTTTGTGGCATGATATGGCTATTAGTGGAAGGTGACGTGGATGTCTTGGATGTTGAGATAGAACTTGAGATGACGTAGATAGCTTGCATTAAGAGGTTCAAAGTTAGTGGCGTGACATGGCTATTAGTGGAAAATGATGTGGATATTTTACATGTCGAGATAGGACATGTAGTGAGGATTAGTTTTATAAGAGATATAGATAGATTAGGCGCCAGCAAAACCTCACCATATTACCTAGTATAAATGGCAAACTAAACTCATAAGTAAATATCTCTTATTTAATTTATATTCATTTTACAATGTGAATTTGCTTTTACTCTCGAAACATCGTATTTTGTAACGTGGCGGTTTTTCTGTGGGAAAAATTATCCATGCAGCGATGGAGATGGAAATAAGGGTATGTTTGGTTAGCGCCTAAGAGCATCTCCAAGAGTTCCCTAAATATTTCTCCTATAAAGTCTATGTTTATCAACTCCTAAAAAGATTTTAGAAGAAAAAAAGAAGTTCATCTCCAATAATTCATAATATTTGACTTCTAAAAATTTAAATGCTGGTCCGATTTGACATTTTTTTTGCAGTCCTCTTTTTTTCCACGCATCCTGCTTGAGGCCACCCGCTTGACGACCGCATCCACATCCTGCTTGAGGCCACCTGCTTGACGACGGCCACAGTAGGAAGAGAGCGTCCCCACGTGAAATCACCGGCCACCTGCGTGGTTATAGAAGAAGAGAGCACGCTGAGTTAACGTGGGATCAAGAAGTTTGCAGTTCGGACGGACCTCGACAAGGCGGAGGCAGACATTATCGTCGACAAACTGCTCTGGACGCGGAGGCCGCACATGCCGTGGCAAGCTGCTCATCCTGCTCCATCTGCTTGTGCACGCGCTGGATCTACTTGGACACCACTCGGAACGATGGCCGGCTTAGGCTCCGTGCCTCCGTGGCGGCGCGGACACGTGCAAACTGTCCTCATCGGTGGCCGGGGAGCGCCGGGAGGTGCGCGACGCGGCCGAAGCCGCCGCAGTGCAGGAGATGCGGCGTCACTACCCCTCCACGCCGGCTGCTGGAGTCGGCCCGCAGCTGCTGCAACCTCGCACGCTGCGTCTCTGGAGAAGATTGCCGGGGAAAAGGTCACGGGAAATCTTCCCTATGGTGTGCGAAGGAGGAAGACGCGCGACAGGGAGGATACGCGGACGGAGATAGCGCGGATCTTTTGCGCGTTGGCATTTTTTTTCTGGATTCTAAAAAATTAGGAGTAAATATTAGAAGTTGTTGGAGAAGGTTTTTTCTTATCTTTCTAAAAAAAATAAGAATTAGGAGGATATTTAGACAACTCTCGTATATGCTCTAATGACGCCACGCCGAGGCTGCGGCCGAGCCGAAAGTTTGGCGCTGAAAATGTCCACAAAAAAATTGTCGAGTTGTGGCGTAAAAAATGACTTACGTGCTCTTGACAAACTGTGGCGGCGCAGTAACTCTGGGAACCAATCAAACGTTGGCCGAAAATGCTGACATCGGAGGTGTGGCAGCCTTTGGGGTTGTTGCTAATCAACCAAAAGTCCTAAAAGCTCCTCCACGAGCGTCAGCCGGGAAGGGGCTTTTTTTTTCTTCCTACACAGGGATGGAGATGGGGATAAGGAGCTAGTCCTCTCATATAAAATTCTTCGTTAATTAACATTCCTATACACACAGCCACAACACAGAGACGCGGCTGGCGCCGCGGCTAAAGGACATCGTCGTGCCAAATCAAAGTGCCTTCATCAGAGATAGGTCGATCCATGACAACTTCAGAGCCGTGCAATTGGCGTGTCGTTGGCTGCACTGCAGAAAGTTCCCTGCCGTTCTGTTGAAGGTTGACATCGCCAAGGCTTTTGACTCGGTGGCGTGGCCGTTCCTGATCGAGGTGATGCAGCATACCGGCTTCCCGCGACGATGGATCAACTGGATCTGTATCCTGCTGTCCACTGCCAGTACTAAGGTTCTCGTCTACGGCACAGCAGGGAGAAGGATCAGCCATGCGAGGGGGCTCGACAAGGCGACCCAATTTCCCCGATGTTGTTCGTTATCGTCATGAAGGCACTGAACTCACTCATCAGATAGGCTGATCGCCGGTTGGCGCTGACACCACTGCCTGGACAAGCTATCTCTCATCGTGCATCACTGTATGATGACTTTCTGGTGCTGCCGGTTGCCCCAAATACAAATGATCTGCACTGCGTAATGCAGATCCTACAGCTCTTTGTCGGGGAGTCAGGCCTAGTCACCAATGTCGATAAGTGTGTCGCTACGCCAATCAGGTGTTCTGACGACGTGATGGCGGCTGTCCAGCAGGCCTTCCCTTGTGTGGTTGCACCATTCCCATGCAGGTACCTCGGTGTACCGATGTCGCTCAGTCGTTTGAAGCATGCTGATGAGCAGTCACTCGTCGACTCAGTTGCAACTAAGATCCCGACTTGGAAGGCAGGAATGCTCACACACGCTGGACGCGTCTTGCTCACGAAGGTGACCCTGTCGGCTATCCCAGTCCACATGAGTATTGCATGCTGTTTGTCCAATTGGGCCCTGGGTCAGATCGACAAACGCCGCCGTGCGTTCCTTTGGTCGGGCACTGCTACAACGGTCGGGGGGGGATGCAAACTGGCCTGGCCTGTGGTTTGCAGGCCAACTCATCTAGGAGGCCTTGGCGTGATGGATCTGCGCTTCTTTGGCTTCGCGCTAAGATTGCGGTGGGAGTGGCTAAGCAGGACGGCTCATGATAGTTGCTGGGCCAGGTTGCCGTTCAGGTCGGAGAAATCCGTGGCTGCGATGGCGGCAATCAACATGACGGTGACCATCGGCGCCAGGGCATCCGCAAGGTTGTGGACTGACAGTTGGGCTTCTGTGGGAGCCCTGTGTCACTACGCACCTAACCTGTACGCGGCCATCTCGAGAGCGGGAAAGAAAAGAACAATCAGAGATGGCATCTTCCAGAACCGTTGGGCGCGGGACATCGTCGGCGCGCCAACCACGCAAATCCTCTGTCAGTACCTTCGGGTTTGGGGCATTCTGCACGGCGTCGTTCTCAATCCGTTGCAGGGGATTGCTTTGTCTGGCGCTGGACTGCGGACGGCAGGTACTCTGCATCGTCCGCGTACCGAGCTTTCTTCGCCGGCTCATCGTCGTTGTTAGGTGCCAAGGAGCTGTGGAAGACCAAGGCACCTCCGCGCGTTAAGTTCTTCTAGTTAGCGCTACATCGACGCCTATGGACTGCGGAACGACGAAGAAGGCATGGGCTACAAGATGATGATGCCTGCGTCCTTTGCGGACAGGAACCTGAGACCGGTGATCATCTCTTCGTAGGGTGCGTCCTTGCCAGAGAGCTCTGGGTCTCCCTTCTGGCACCTGTCGGCCTGACGGCGCTTGCCCCTGCGACCACTGAGGACCTAGCGTCATGGTGGCTTCGTCAGCGGCTACGACTGGACGTTGCGTTGCGCTCGGCCTTCGATTCCCTAGTGCTGCTCATCCCCTGGATCATTTGGAAGGAGAGGAACAACAGGACGTTCTCGCGGACGGCATCCGGGGTTCAGGAGTTGTATCTCAAGGTGGTTCGCGAGGCTGATGATTGGGTGCAGGCAGGATTCAAGACGCTTTCGGTGGTTTGCCCGCTTTGGTCGCAAAACTTTGCTGCAATGTAATCGCTAACGCTGTATCCAGTAGATAGGTTTGCGGATTCTAGTCAACCTTGAT